ATTTTGCACACTGGTCTTAAGATAGAACAAACTGAGGAGTTTGAGACTGAGACAAGCCCTTTTGCTGACACTGATTTGGTAACTGCCGGGTGACAGTACTCTTCTGGGGTTGCCAGATGGAACTGGAGTTGCAATGTAATGAAGATGATCAAGGTTCTTTTCTTCAAATGTGTTGCTTGGAACACCTGAGAAATGGTATAAGGAGGAATTATAGCCAGTTTCAAATACATTCAACTTTCATGTACTGCTAATACTAACCTTTGAATAATAAGCATATTTAATCTTGTCTTGAATGAAATGTGATTTGTTACTAGAGCATCATTACATGTTTAACAGTTTTGTGTGTGTACGTGTGTTTTATCTTAAAGATAGCATAGAAGCCAATGTAGAAAATGCGGAGGTACACGTTCAACAGGCAAACCAGCAGCTGTCAAGGGCAGCAGATTATCAGGTAATGTTAACTGTAATGAATTTTCTTATAACTTAGCCTGAAAGGGGAGAGAGAATGAATGAGAATGATCAAGTTTAAAGTGGCTGGAGATGTTAAATTTTAACATTTTAAACTCAGACCCCTACTAGGGTTCAGAGGTAACGTCAGTCAGTTTGAAACCAGTTTTAGCCTATATATATTCTCATGGTTGAACTAGACTTGCTGTGGCCCACGGAGAAAGTTTATTGTTTGAGTTGCAGTAGACAACTGCAGGCTTTTCTGATGGCTGGTGGTCTCTGATGTCCTTGTGACATTTCTACTCAGAAACCTCTTTGATAGACTGCTCCCGCCATTTCTCGCTGTTCCTTTTTACCTTTCCTTTCTTTTCGTCAGTGGCACTCTGGACCACAGAGGCAAAATTTCTTGTCTTAGAGAGATATCTTCAGGTCTTATGGAAATCATATCAGCTTGGAGTGTCATTATTCATTATATATTCTGTCAACATTCAGCAGACCCTTTGCCAGGAATGAATTTCTTTCTTAAGTGAAGCAGGTTAATACAGGGAGTCCATATGTATGTGTCAAATATAAATTGTGTCAAGTACTACACAAATATTAGAACCATGAACTATTAATATATCATGCAATATGTAGACCTTTGATGTTCAGCAAGGATAAAGTCAGGTTCTTTGGGAACCCCTAAATACCATGTAGCATTTGATTTCCCTTTTAGAACTTTCTTTTTTGTTGTTGTTCATAATTATTATTTTCTTAGACTTGTTAACTTCTTACAAAATATCTAAGATATTGTCACCTTCTTAGATATTTTCAATTGTTTTTCACTTTTCTCACTGACCTTGGAAGTTGCATTTCATTTCACTGCCGTTTTTTTCCGTGGACAAATTACTGCATGTTCAGCGATGTATAAATAACAGTGAAGCTGTTATTTATGGAGATTCCTGAATTGTAACCAATGTATTCACTGACAGGACAGAGTGATTCCTGTTTGTCATCTTTGTGCATGTAAATCAGATATGCAGCTCAGCAGAATTGATATCACTGTATCATGGACTTTAAGTGTCCCTCATGAATAGTTGAAAACACACACGGATGCAGACACACAACTGTGCACACACACGGTAATCTGTAAATGCCAGAAGTCTCGTGGAGCTGTTACCATGTAACTGCTGAAACTTAGTGTTTAACAGGATTCATCACTGACTAGGTTCACATGTTATTTTGTTTTATGTTTGGATTTTGGGGGGATGTAGATGTATCACCAAGTTTTACTTTTCCTATTCCTTATGGAAGTACATGCCTATAGCCACCCTGAGGAAGAGGCACATGTCTTCCCAAGCTGCACCCCAGATCTGGGAGCTACCCCAAAACTTAATTCCCACAGGCCCTGTAGAGTGGGAAGAGGGCCAAGCTACACAAATGCTGAGAAAAGTGGCAGCTTTCCAATAGTTCTACTTGGAAGCCTTGATTTGTTTGGGTGAACCATGAGCATAAAGGAAGGTAATAAATGCTCTTATCACTGCAGCACCCAAGGACCTCATTACCCCACACTAGGGGGCATACCCCTGGGCAATATATACCATGGTGGAATACCCACGATGACTCAGAAAGGTACATTACACATTTGTCTGTAGTAACCAATTGGAGTCTGAGGAAAATATTTA